CGCTCTTGTTGCCTCGCCCACTGCTTCCGATGCTGATGCTACCGGCAGCGGCAGCGACGCATCTGGTACCGGTGCCGACGCTACTGGCACTGATGCTGATGCCACTGGCACTGGCGCCGACGGTGCTGACGCCACCGGTGCTGCCGTCAACGTCAAGGCTGCCGCTGGTAGCATCGTTGGCTTCGGTGCCTTCATGGCCGCGTTCTTGTAAACGCTCCCCACACCAATTGTTTTGTCTTTTTAGCTTCGAGAGTTTATTTTTATGAGGATAGCGGTCCTTGAGATACCTTGGGTTTTGCATTAGCATTGCGTTACACCTGCATCGCAATACCATGGGCGTCGGCACTGGCATGTGTCTTTGACGGGAATAATGTCTGTTTAGTTTAGTCATGGCTTGGATGAAACCAATGTTCATGAGGTTGATAGTACTCTTTTTTGTGTACTGGATGGGAAAATATATCAAACATTCATACTCAAAACACTTCTTCCCTGCTTGTAATGTTTTCTTGTTGAGTCTACAAAGTCTAACTTTCAACTTAAGGTTCATTGAACTACAAACATGAAATAGTGACCGACCTCGGCACACCTCAAAGTTTGGCACCTGCACACCCCGCCAAACAACCACTCCCTAATCAAACTAAAACATGACAGCCACCCCATTCCCCAGACACATCCCTTCAATCCCCTACAGCGATCCCCCAAGTCGCCTCCAAACGCTCGACATCTGGCTCCCCGAACCCCAGGAAGCCACACCCAAACCTAGCAACAATGCGCCATGGCTAATCTACATCCACGGCGGCGCCTGGCGCGACCCCCTCATAGAAGCCCCTAGCTTCACACCCACCATCACTCACCTCGCCGCCTCGCACGCCTCTACTCTGAGTAAAATTGGCGGAATCGCAAGTCTAAACTACAGACTCTCGCCGTACCCCGACCACGCAACGCAGCCAAGTGCGCCCAACGATCCAGAGCGCTCAGCGCGACACCCGCAACATATCCGCGACGTCGCCCGCGGAATCCAATATCTCCAGCGTGAATACGGAGTGAAGAGATGGATAGGAATAGGCCATTCCTGCGGAGCAACCCTGCTATGCCAACTCGTTTCCGGTATAGGACTTACACCTGACCTTCTCCCCACGCCGGCTCCTGAAGCCATGATTTTGATATCAGGCATATACAGTCTACCGCTCATGATACGGAACCACCTCCCGCCCACGACACCAGAATACATCTCGAAGATTTACAAAGAGTTTGTGAGGGGCGCTTTTGGTGAGAGGTCAGGGTACATAGAGTGGCAGGCTGTGTCGCCTGTTGCGGGGGGATATAATAAGGAGCAGTGGCCGGAGGGGAAACTGCTGATGCTTTGTCATAGCTATGAGGATGAGCTGGTGGAGAGGGCGCAGAGGGATGTTATGTGTGTTACGCTGGATAGGGAGGGGTGGAATATTGTTATGGAGGTTGGGGATGATGAGGATGAGGTTAAAGAGGAAGGAAGGAGAGTGGTTAATGTAAGGGATCTAAAGGGTGGTCATGATTGGATTTGGGAGGATGGAAAGCAGATTGCGGTGTTGGCTGCTGAGGCTGTAGAGCGATTAGTTTAGATTGCGGAATGAAGGTTGAGGTGAAAGTGTAGTTATGTTCGCTATTCCCTATGGGCATGCGAGAAGTGGAGTTCCAAAGTGGAAGAAGAGAGAAGACTCCGCGAATGATGCTTGCTTTTGGGTGGTATCCCATATCCAATAACCCCGACGCGGTCGCTTGCGGCTCGTTGCTATTTATACAGCGTGGTATAATGTACAGTCGTATCCCGTTCCTATCCCATCGTCTCTCATGCAAGGTCGCTGACTACCTCTTGCTCAGCCTCTCGTCCATGACCCTGTTGATCTCGTTGTGCATCTGGTTGGATCCACTCTCAGCATCGTTCAGCTTACTCTGGAGCTCTTGAACCTTCTTGCTGCTTCCGCCCTCGACCATCTTCGATGCTTGCGCCTTTGCTTGGGAAGCGTTGACGTTGCCGTATACTGCCATGGCGCTTGCGATCATGCCGCTCATATCGCCGACATTGCCGGGAACGACGATGCTTGTGCCCTCCTTAGCCAGGTTACCGAATGCATCCACGTACTTCTCAGCAACGGAAAGCGAGATGGCGTTCTGTGCTGCGCCGCCACCTTGAGAGATGGATCGCGCAACTGCGTCGATTCCGTTGGCAGTCGCAGTGGCCTTGAGCAGGATAGCCTCAGCCTCTCCGTTTGCCATGTTGATCTGCTCAGCCCTTAAGGCCTCGGAAGCCAGGATGACCGACTGCTTCTTTCCCTCAGCGATGTTGATAGCAGATTGTCTCTGACCTTCTGACTCCAGGATCTCAGCTCGCTTGGACCGTTCGGCAGTGACTTGGCGGTGCATGGCTTCGACGACGGGTTCGGGCGCGTGGATGTCACGGATCTCGTATCGCAGGCAGGTAACACCCCAGTCTTGTGCTGCCTCGTTGATCGCAGCGGTGATGTTGGCGTTCAGGTTGGCGCGTTCTTTGAGGACGTGATCGAGGGAGAGTTGACCGATTTCGGAGCGCATCGTAGTTTGTGCCAGCTGGGAGATGGCGTACTCTGCGTCTTCTACACCGTAACTGTGGGCTGTCAGCATCCTCGCTACACTCAAATGTATGACATGCTCACCTCGCCTTGTATGCGTCAAAGACCCTGGTGTACAGGACACCATCCAGCTCCAATGTGACATTGTCCGCGGTGATGGCACTCTGGCTGGGGATTTCGAGGGCGTTTTCCTTGAGGCTCTTGACGTAGGCTATCCTATCAATGAAGGGTACCAAGATGGCAAGACCAGGCTCCAGTATGCGGTTAAACTTTCCCATGCGCTCTACAATCCATGCTGTTTGCTGTGGCACGAACCGGATGATTGTATTTGCAGGCCGACGGTTCTGTGTTGAGAAGTACGAAGGCACGCCACCACCCGACTTGGAGCCGGTTTGGAAGGCAAAGATGTTGGTCGGGTCTGAGGCGGAATGTGAGTTGAGCTGCGAGAAGCTGCGGGCGGAGGATGTTGTCAAAGCAGCAGCGAGCGGCGATATCCTTGAGGTTGCGAGTGGTCTTGAGCTTCGCAGTAGTCCGGAAGCCGTAGTGGCTGCCAGCCGTGTGCGCGACGCCATTATGGGGAGATTAGGTGCAAGCGATGATGATGTCGGACACGCGAAGCTCCAGAGTCATCGGCGAATCTGGCAGCCATCTCCGACCGCCGCATTATGTAATCTGCCCATCCCTTCTCCAGAGATGTTCTTTCCACGCTTCCAACATCGCGATTTCAATGTCTTATTGCAAAAGATTCAGCTGTCTCAATGAACATACAAGCGCGGACTCACGCCTTAGACAGATCTTCCAGCACCGATCTCCATCCTCGAAGGCTTGAGAGCGTATCTTCACACAGACTTCGATGGATAGAACCATCCGGTTTGCATGCGCGGAAGGGATCCACGCTTCAATTCACTATGCGTCATCCTTCGAATGACTTAGATGGATAGACGCATTTGTATGTCCAGGTGCGCTCCTCATGTATGACTCTTTCCATTTCCATGGTACTGCGGTGACCCAGTGACGATGAGCCAACCCTTCCGTATTTCATACGACTCACACGCAAGAAGATACTCACAAACGAGAAGTATCGCATCCTCAAGAGGCTCTGACGTTTTCGTTCATTCCGAGACTCTCACCTTCACTCTTGTACACAGAAGCGCACAGGGCCCGTGCTTTCATCGCGCTTTCCTCTTCTGTTATGTTTGCCTTGACCTTCGCGCCTCCACTTTCGCACCGGTAGCTTCCCCGCCGCAATTCAAAACACTCAATACACCAGCAGTTCAAGTAACGCAAGATGCCTCCGCAACGGTCTCAAAAAGTCGCTCCTCGCCATGGTCCTAGTGAGAAGTCCAAGAGATCAGTCCGTGGCCAACGCGGTTATCGCAAACACAAAAGCGGTCTCCTCAACGTCGAGCCCATCGGATCGGAAGTTGAGCTGTAAGAAATATCCCATTTGTAGTTATATATTGACGGCACTGACCTTCTACCCAGAGCAAACAGAAACGCACGAGATTCTCCCCTCCTTCGCCTACCTGCTGAGATTCGCAACCGAATCTTCAGCCTCGCGCTTGGAGGATCACCAATCAAGATGCCAACGAGGGTATGGCCGATGTCGAAACCCGAAGAGCATCTCGCGCGCTTGAACCTACTCCGTGTCTGTCGCCAAGTCTACGTCGAGACAGCCATGATCGCGTACACCACCATCCCTTTCTGCTTTGCTGCCCTCCCCGATATCTCACGCTATCTGAGGACATGTAAGCTTCAACACGTACGCGAGATTCATTTTGGGGCCCTCTCATCAGAGATGAATGTAGGCCCTAGGAACAACGTTTGCACCCGCTTCTTGAGTACCAGTAAGCTCAAGGCCCTTCAAAAAGTCAAGATCACGCTCTATCTGTTCGCGGAAAGACTTGCCGAAGAAGCAGCCGCGGTGGCGAGGGTAAAGGCGATGGTGGAGGCGTACCTCCCGGGCAAAGAAGTCGAGGTATGCAAGGCCAGTACAACCGAGCATCATGCATACTGGAAAAGACTTACTACGAGGTATGCGCAAGCATGAAATCCGGCCATGGTTCACGAAAGAGTCTTGAGAAGAGAGCGCGAGGACTGTGTAGCATCTGATATATGAACAAGCACGTAAAAAACGGATTTTTTTATCTGCTTCGTTACCGATTACAAGTGCAGGGTAAAGCACTAATTATTGCTAAAAACACGGGATTACAACGGGATAGCAACATACTCTAACGAGTGAAAGCTTAAGACTCTAAATAAAAAAAAGAAAAATGAACAAGCACGTGTCCAAACGACAGAAAAAATACATCATGTGATCAAGGCTCAATGAATATCATTCACATGAGCGGTTTGAATACAGTTGGATTATGTTGGCTGGAAGAGTCTCGGTTATTTGCTGAGACAGGGCACTCAATTAGAAGACTTGATGCGTTCCTCGTCCAAAGAACAGCAGAATTTCCCGTTGCCGAATCCTCCATCTGCCTCGTTGGAACCAACCTTAGTTATCGCTACAACGCCGGCGCTACCAGGCCTTTGCAAATGTAGCAAGAATCGTTCCACCGACCATCTTCTATCACATCCCATCCACCGTGCTTGTAGCACAGATAGTAAGGGCAGCAAGTATGCCTCTCCTTCACACATCCACAGTCCATCCATATCTCACCTCTCTCGTTCTTCGTCCACTTCACCACACTGTCGATTTCCGGATACGCGCGATAAAGCTCCTTGCGCATGGCCTCCCACACATGCTTTTTGATGCGAAAGCTCCCCCGGAGCGGCCCATTTGGATTAAACACGAAGGTCTCGCCCATCAAGTGAGCTTCCTCGAATTGTTCGTTCACTCGCGTGAAGTTCAGGCTCCAGTCTCGCAGAGTCCACTTATCGACATCGTCTGTGTAAGGGCTGTGAGTATTGTACCTTCCTGACATGTCCCATACATAGCGGAAGTAGCCGTCGGTTTGACATCTGATGTTGATATCGAATCCCAACTGCCGGAGTTCGTGGAAAGGGCCACTCAGCGAGCGAAATAGATGGGTGATGTTGCTGGGTACGCCTCTCGTTTGATCCTCGAATTTGAAGGTGACAGGGCGAGGCTTTTGGTTGCGCAGAGAGGAAAGCGTATTGATGCAGCGGCGAAGTTCTGCGTTGAAGTTTCCTGGTATGCCTATACGCTCTAGACCCTCGTTTCCGTCGATCTCGTCCATGCAGTCGAAGACGATGACTAGAGCCATGTTTCCCAGGAGCTCGTACAGCGTGACGTCGGAGTGAAACGTCTTTACTGTGGTCAGGTCGTGTAATCTTTTCCACGAGACGTGGTAAGTCTCGTCGTAATTAAACCCGCACGGGTTATGAGTTATATCGGTCCCATCTCTTTTCCCAAAAGCCTTCAGCATCTCTGTTGCCACCTGCCTCCCCCCAAACCACTGTTTGGCCAAGTTTGGGAGAAAGTAGTCCAACTTCCCATAATGTTGAATCCAGAGCGCTCTACGTTGATCATTCCTGTCGTCTGCATCAATAAGCCTATCGATGAGTGTTTCCTTGCATGCATCCAAGGCCCAGAGCTCATCGTATATCATGTCGCGAAGTTCGCGTGGCAAGACAGAGAGTCTGGCTACGATTTCGCGATGTGCAGCTTGTGAGTAGCGCAAGAGGGCTTTTTCGAGCTCTTCAACTTTGCCATTCTGCTTTTGTCTTTTAAGCTTGAGCATGACTTCTTCAAGTGTAAAGTACGACCGATTTTGTACCTCTAACAGGAAGTAGTTCGCACAAAACCATTCTGGTGTAAACCGGGATTTCTTGAGGTATATAGCTTTGAGGTATCTAGAAACTGAAGTGCGGATGAGAACTCGGAGAGCGCTGTTTGCACACCTTTTCAGGTCCAATTCCGCGTTCGCCCTGGCTTTTGCTTTGCCTTCGATAAACTGTTGTGATGTCATCTTGATGTTGTTGTGAGAGTGTGATTTGCGTGTTATTGGTATTGCCGAGATATTTGTGATAGTTGAGTTTGGGGAGTGTGTTGGAGATATAAACGAACCTGACTATGAGTCAAGTAGAACAGTTTGGTCGAGGCAACCAGAGCACGCACACTCACACAACCAATAGTAATTCACCAGAAGACCAACGGCAAATGCTTTGATCCAATCCATTCAACTTTATTTGCAATAGAGCTACACAGAGCGCTTCCATCCACCTTCCGCTTCGAAGATTTCACCGACCTTGCTGCTGACCGCGAGCAACCGTCTATCGTGGTAGCGAGGCGCAACAAGCGACACCCCGATTGGCATTCCGTTCTCACCCTTGAAACCTGGAACGTTGACTACTGGTGTGTGCAGTGCCTGCGCGAGTATTAGTCAAGTTCTCTGCACCTGAACAGAAATATGACTTACCGTCCAGATCAAACAAAACGCCGCACTGCCCGTCTTCTCAATACCCAGTGGCGCCTCATCCGGCACACTTGGTGTAAGTACCGCAGCGTATCTGCCAAGTATCTCATCGACAACCGGCCTCGCTGCCGCAATCTTGTCGAAAGCTTCAAGCTGCGCTTTGCGCGAGATCTTTCCACTGTTCTCAACGTGGCCGACAAGTTGTTCCGAGATCTTATCCTTGGCCACTGTGTATTCTGGAAGAAACGCGGTTCGGCCGTCAGAGTTGAGTACCGCCGCGTGCCACGCCGGAAGATCATTAAGGTCATCTGGTAAGCTTATTTCCTCAACCTCGGCTCCATGGGCACGAAGTAGCGAGACGGCTTTGTCAAGTGCGGCGGAGGTGCCAGGGCCTACGTTCGGCCATACCATGGTTTTGAGAAGGGCAAACTTCGCGCCCTTCACTGTGAAGTCTTTTGGAGGTGGCGCATCGTCGTGAATGGCGAATGTATCGGCGAGCAGTTCTAGATCAGCCACACTACGCGCGTAGAGACCCAACGTGTCCAGAATCAGAGAGTAGATCTTTTGGCCTTCGCGAGTAATAGAGTTCCATGTGGGCTTAAGGGCATAGATGCCATTGTACGAGCCAGGACGGATGGTGCTGCCACCGGTTTGGGTTCCTAGACCGATAGGTGCTTGGAAATCGCCTACTGCGGCACCGGATCCGGATGAAGAGCCACCAGGCGTGCGTTTTGCGTCGTGCGGGTTTCGTGTCTTTGGGCCTATTGTGGTCGCAGCAAACTCGGTCGTTGTTGTTTTGCCGAAGATGAGTGCACCGCCCTTGCGCAGTATCGCTATGGAGCCAGCGTCTACTTGAGGCGCATCGTTGGCATATATGGGTGAGTTGAACTGCGTGGGCATTTCTAATATCGTTAGTCAAGCTGGATGAGGGAACGACACCTGGGCATGTATTAGCAGCTCACCCTTGGTGTAAATGACATCTTTGACAGCAATGGCTATGCCGTGGAGGGGACCGCGCTCAGACTGTGGAATGGCATCGAGCGCTTTCGCTTGCTTGATGACATATTCGGGGTCAAGGTATGCCCATGCTTGAACAGCTTCGTCACGTGCTTCGATGCGTCTGAGGAGTGATTTCGCGTACTCTTCGACTGAGGTCTCGCCCGCTTTGATCTTTGCCGAGATCTCGGTGGCTGTGAGTTTGTAAAGATCTGAGCCCATGGCGTCGTATAATTTGGTAATGGTAAGTATCGTTGCTGTATAGATAATCGTGGGTGTTCCCGCTTTGCTTTCTCAGGTTGATTGTAATATCAAGAAGAGGAATTGGAGAAGTGGTCTTTGAAGCCGTTGGAGTTGGAGACACATCCAGACGCCGAAGGCAGCGACCTGTCAGCGTCAGCGATGCCATCGGCCCAAAAAGCCCGCATCGTGATAGGGAGCAATTGCGTGTCCCGTCCAGACCCGCTCATAGGCGATAGCCAAACACTTGCCCAACAAGGATATACCGGTTGTACTAATAAGTTGGAGCCGATAAAGGCATCCCACTTTTTCGGAATGCTGGTTCCGATCGGAACTGTTCAGTCAATGCCCAGGTGTCGGTACTAGGAAACACGTGAACAACATCGCACCTGGGCAGTTCACATGTCCAGCCGCCTGATCAGGAGTCTCAACTTTATGATATCATAACAAGGCTAATCGAATGTTGCAGTCTCTTAGGAGAATATTGTTCGAATCTATCGTATTGCAATTACATGATGTGAGTACATGGTTTCGATTCTGTTACAATCTAGGTTGCTGCTCTGAGCTCAAAAGGTGACCTTTGGTGACTTCTCGCCAATCTCAACATCTTCTCCTCCGTCGGTCATCGGTGGCGTTGAGGCGCCATAAATCACACCATCATCCCTGTCTCCGTCGAAGAAGCCCTCGCGGCCGTCATTGGCTAGCCATTCCCGTTGGAAGGGCGTGCTCTCGCGTCCAACAGGGAACACACGCGGTTTGACGAAGAAGGTGATGACGAAGTAGACCGTCGCCGCGGTGAAGAAAGTTAGCAACCAGCCCATGCGGTACATGTTCTGCGCAGCCGCCGAAATGATCTGTGGCTCGTACTGGCCAATAAGGCCAGGAATACCCATAGTTGTACCAAGTAGCCAGGCTGCGACACCACTCCAGTTGACACCGGACCAGTACCAGTAGAGACCCGTCTTCTTGCCATCGTAGCACGATGGTATATGTATGTTTCCTTTGCGCGCGATGTAGTAGTCGACAATGATGACGGCGCAAAGAGGGGCCATGAAGATGTTGTAAGAACCCAAGAAACTAATTCATCGTTAGCATGGTGAGTGGGAAGCCTATAAGGGAACTTACCTCAAGAAGGCCGTTGCGTTCTTCATCAGTTCCCATGGCTGTACGACGACACCAAGAATGGCGCAAAGCACTTGTCCACGGCGAATGGTGAGCCACTTGGGGAAAAGGCCAGTCATATCACTTCCGAACGGAATTGAGTTGGCTCCAAAGTTCGTGGCGAAGACACCGAAGTAGAACGCCAAAGCAACGAAGAAGATCCCCGCACGCGCTCCGGCGCCGAAGTGGTGGTCAAGGATGGCTTCAAAAAGATCCCAGATGTTCCAGTAGGCAACACCATATGCTGCCTGCATGGAAGTCGTGGAGGCCATGCCAAGGAAGAATACGATGATGGAGGACACGAAGACGCTGACACCTTGAGTCACACCAGCATCGCGAGGCTTCTTGCAGTAACGAGCAAGGTCAGGCTGGTTGACCAACATAGGCGAGAGCGAACCGAAGATGGTGTTGATGCCAGCCATGATGCTCCATCCCAGAGGGGTCACTGAGGCGGCAAGCTCCCCTTCGCTGGAAGCAAGGTCCATAGCGCCGAGTCCACCACCGTTGGCCATGCACCAACCGAAGATGGCGAAAGCTGCAATTGGCATGATGAACCCCTTCACAGTGAAGATATAATGGATGTGTCTGGGGTGAACCCACATGAACGGAAACTCCATTAGCCAGGCCATGAAGAAAGCCAGAAGCTGCTTCGAGGTGACACTTGCGGTAGGCGAGAGTGTGTTCGTGAAGTTTTGCCAGGAACTGCCAAAGATGCAACGGAGCATGACCGAGAGGATGTTACCGGCGTAGAAGGACTGAATTCCGTACCAGATGATGCATACGATCGCTCGGATGAAGACGAAGAAGTAGGAGCCGTACATACCCATGACTGAGCGTGCAATCACAGGGAATCCGATGTGGTACTTGGCACCTGGACGAGCCATGAGGACGACTACGACTGCTGCTAGGAAAGACCCAATGCAGGCTGATACAAAGGATTGTTGCCATGTCTGTTTACGCCATTAGTTCCCAGATTCCGCTTGCATGCTTCGACGTAGCTTACCAGACCGACTGTGACAAGAGCGGAGCCCGTATTCCAACCAACGAGGGAAAACTGGTTGGAGAACCAGTATAGAGGAAGATTGAACCTTCATTTGTCAATAAAAGCTCAAAGATATGCGTCGTCAAGATCCTTACCAGGTCCAGGTCCTCTGTTCCACCGGCGTTGGCTCAAGATCTTTGTTAGACCATCTCTCGTCCCCGATTGGGGCATGGCCGTCGTTACCTTGAGGAGCCCTGACGAAGTCGACAAAGGCCTCTTTCGAGCGAAAAGGCGCCGCGATCTGGTCCTTGGTCGGAAGCTGGACTTTCCCCATGGTGCTGTAATGGTGTGGTTTGGTCGACTACTGGGCGTGGTCAATCCTCCAAATCCTCTTCATGTCGGCGGACCATGGTGTCTCATATGTCGATCGGACGTCACGCCAACTCCAAGTCGTTCACGTATCGCACGCATATCGGGCTGTGATTGACCACGGGCATGGCTTCTGGCGCAGCCTCTTCGGGCACTTTCTAGCCGATGTGCCATGTTGCCATGCGCGCATCAGTCATTCCCAAGCCTGACATCAGCGTATGCGGTGCGATAAAGAACAGGGGTGGAGATAGGAGTGTGATGTAGACCTCCGATATGTTGCTTGTTATGGCGTAGTTCCTTCGCAATCTTTGGGGTCTCCAGGCGGCGGATGGGTGCAGCCGAGATAAAGCCATTGGAGGCCCGTGCCATTTTAGCCTGTTGTGGATGATTCGCGATAAGACACACGTCGGCTCACACATTCCACCTGGGCCTCAACGGGACTATCGCACGTGGGAAATATGGAGCCAAACGGTATGAATCAGAGCCGACAGCTGCAGGGCTGTTGCATCAACGCCATACTCCTGACGACGAGGCCATGTTGCAGTCCTACCCAGAGAGCCCCGTAAGCCCCTCCTCCGGTCGGGGTGTGGGAACAGCCGCAGACGCAGTACCCGCATCCAATTCTCCGAAGGAAGCTCAGTCGAACGCGTCAAACCCAGGTCCTGCGACTAGGAAATCTCGGGTGGCCTTGGCCTGCAAAAGATGCAAACGGAGAAAGCAGCGTGTACGTCACGTGGGACGTTGCTTCATGCACCTTGGCTGAGAATCATTTAGTGTGACGGTGCGCATCCAGTCTGCAGATCTT